GCGCGCATGAAAATTATATTAAAAAATACAACGTACGTGAGAAAATTGTCATAAAAAAAATATTGTAAATAGAAATGCGTTAGATTTTTATCCTGCCACGTGTTCAATTTTTCTTACACGTCTGAAACTTGTGAGCTTCAAATTTGACTCAAAAATCCATCTTAAATAAAAAATGTTTTATCGGTAGACCCTATTATTAATGCCATTTCAAAAATATTAATCTCTAGTTAATTCTATCGATAAAATTATACTTTTTTTACGAAAAAAAAGTATTAGAATGGAATTACAATAAAATTTAGCAAAATTTAAAGCCCGTATAATTTCAGAATATAAATAATTTATTTGTACTTAAAAGACCTTTGCCAATAGGACTGTTCGTTTTAGCCGAACTTCTTGCGCAGTTTATATTTTCTCTTTTTCTCTCTACGTGTAAAAAAAAAAAAAAAAAAAAAGGAAAAGAAAGATGAACCGTGCGAGAAGTTCGGCTAAGACGAGCATACCTATGGATAATGCAAAATCAACAGTCAAAAAAAAGTAGAAGCAGAAATAATCTAACCTCAAAAAAAGCAGGAGATCGAGGATGCGTTAGAATTTCGTTGAGTCGGAAAAATTTACAAAAAGCCAAAAGAAGATGGTCTTCTCGAAGGCACGAGAAAACGTGCAGGCGGAACGAGAAAAAAAAATGGGATATACGTTCGCGGCTTTTCCGCGCAAACGCAAAGGCTTACATAGAAAGCTGACGCAACCGGCAACATCCAAAACGCGGATGCAACTTCCGTTAAAATATCGTTTCGCAGATTCTACCGATTTGCGACAAATCTATCCGAAACTCGAGGTTCACGCGTGGGTCGGACGCACGCTGTTGGAAATAGGTTAGGGCGGTAGCTGAGACGGAAAGATTCCAAGATTTCTTTAAGTACGGAACAAAGAAACGCGAGCACGAGCGAAGAGAAAAGATATTAATGTTATCTGCGAAGTTTTATCCGTTTAGTCTTACCTGGCAACGTATCTCCATGAAAATGTACAAATTTCACGTGCCGAAGCTTCGCCCTGCCGCGGATGCCGCCGTTGCCGGTGGTTGCCGGTCGCGCAATCACCGTATATCCTCGGATCTCGGATCGGATATCGGATTGCTCGGAATGCTCGGAATGCTCGGATCCTTCCTTCCACCTTCTTTTTGCTCCTACCACTTACCAGTCCTACTTCCTACTTCAAGGACGGTATATGGCGCTCTGACGATGTTTCTTCAGCAGACCTCTATGGCGTATGGCGTATTCTTCTCGAAGGACGAAAGGAGAAACGAGACTGCACTCAGCACTACGCAACGTCGAGAGAGGGAGGGGAAATTAGACAAAAATGTGCTAAACTTACATCCATGTTTTAAGCGGATTGTAGATAAGACAGAGATTTCTAGCTTACTTTTATCTGGCGATCGGCGAATAGCAAAAGTAGAAATTATTCAAAACTTTCGAATACGTGAAGCAGGGCTAGCAACATCGGCCTATCTCCTCGAGTCCTCACCGCGGCTTGCCGGCGCATTTCTATTGAGCGTTTTCTACTGGGAAAACGGGTGCAACACTGGTGCACCAATAAGTGCAATTTTTAAGGCCTGTTCGTTTTATGTCCATTTCTAATTTTAAAAATTAAAAAACGATAATATTGATGATGATATGCATATAAAAAGTAAACCGAGATTAAAGTTAATCCATGTTGGCAGAAATAGACATTAGCTTGTTGTACAGTTCATTTTTCTTCTTTTTCTCGCGAACGTGAAAAGAAATAAAAGAGGAAAGAACTGCGCAGGAAGTTCAGCTAAAACGAACAGGCCTTTATATTGTTCCAATGTAAAAATCAGTTTACATTTTTTTTTCAGTGTGTTCAATGTTCTATTGACAAAAATTTGTCAAATTTTGAAATAATATTAAAAAATTTCCATCAGGCTCGAGAACTTTTCCCCTCAATATATAGTAGGTGTCTAGTTCCCTCGACATGCCATATATTTCAGTGCTTTATACAATTAATCAATAGTCATTATATTTAGACAGAAAACATTCATCTTGGGCATGTTCTGATAAGCGTACAAATTATATATAATACTTATATTATATATTATACTTAGATATAAGAAACGATTAAAAAGCTGTTATTCACAGATTTAAGATAAGAACAATACTAGAAATAGTGATAAGATTTATTGTTATATTTCGTGGTTGTATATAAGATATATTTACCCCGCTATTTCAATTCTAATAATAATGGCTGTTAACAATAACAATAATCACAAAAATTTACAAAAAAAAATAACATTTTACAATATTGAATTTTTGTGCTTTATCTTTTAATTTTATTCCCGGAGTAATATATTATTTTCATAAAAAGTAGCTAAGTTAAAATAAAGATATATACGAACTTTAATATTTTCAAAATTAGTGAGATTAGATTTACTTCTTCTAGTTTCTAAATTATTGATTTACCAATTTATCTTAATATATATGATACGATTAATTTAAAATAAAAATATAAAAGAGTTTATATTTAAAAAGTTGATTTTTTTAAATTCCTGCTTCTTATAAAAATTAAATAAAAATTAAATAATTATATATATAAAAATATGTGTATATAAGAATATAAAGGATAGAAGGAACGTAAATAATTATAAGATCGTTATCTTTCGGATCTAATTTAGATTAAAAATATGAAACTATTCCTATTTATTTTTTTTTAATTAGCTTTCATGGCGAGACTAAATTTTTGTCAGTCTCTTTAATTTCGCAGACGTCTTTGAGATGTCTTATTCTTTTACTCTCCATTCGCATCAACGTGAAAATTATTTGCGTAATATGAGCGTAGACGCTATTAACAAATGCACGTGCTTAAAATAATGTCAATGACCTAGATTATCTTCAGGCACTCGTGTTATTATCGTTTTAAAGTACTTGGACAACATGGAGAATAAAGCAACAGTGAAGAAGCAATTCTCTTTTCGGGCCGTCACGAATAAAACTTTCAATGTCAATATATATTTTTCTTTTTTATGGGCAATTTGTGCTCGTAAACTTTCAATATTTTAAAACCAACATTAAGGGAGATACAAAGAGACGCCACGTAGAGCATGCAAGGTTTCATCGCGGACATCCTGAAGTTTATTAAACTTCTTTTGTATCGATTTTGCAGGCTCGATACATCATATATATATTTATGTATCAGGTATGTATTTGTACATTAATGTATTCCTACGTGAATTCTATTTTCGAATCTTTCACAGCGTATTCATTCTAATTGCCTAAATTATTGGTAGAAGAGTTTGCTCGATATAAACATTTGATTTTTATTTTATGTAGCCTAAATTTTTTTTTAAATCAACAACTTGTGAGCTTATGGACTTGCAGGCTTGATGGCAGCTATCAGATATGTCGTTTTAATCAATAATTATACGTCGAATTTGGGAACAGGCCCGTTGGCTCCTTTCGATAACTGGTAATATCTATGACAAACAACAAGATTGTTATAACAAGTGTTCTTATCTGATAGGCATGTCCGTCGATTGCTTCTCCTCTTTAAAGACTTATTGTGAAATGAAAATGTCAATATAATTATGTCATATGCATTCAATCCAGGCAATTAAAAGATCAAGGAACATGTCTGAGAATGTATGAAAGATCAGAACATTTTTTAAATATCTTGTATAATGTCATGTCACTTAAATGTTCTTCTTCCATATAAAATTAGGCTTAGAAACGATTTTTAAGTTATTATTTCTTAGATTACTGCCGTTACGGGATAGTTCTCGTCTTTTGCGTTTCTCTTAAGCTTTATAACTTATACGAGATAGAGATTGCACTTGAGCCTTGAGCGTTCACTTCACGTCCTCAACACTCGTGTCTGTAACGTTTAATCGGAGAAAAAAAAACGGTCTACCGTCAAAATATATTTCTCGCCTACATGATATCATGTCATCGTCTTTGATATTACAGTCTCAGATCAAATTGCATTTGCCGAAAGGCCTAAATGAAATAGTACCTATAATGTCTCCCAATTAAAAATAATTATATAAATTATTATAATGAGATAAATATACGTGAGTATAAAAATCGACAAAATATTTTTCTAAATACATATTTTTCTGATAAATATAAATAATTATTACTTATATAAGATGCATATATTAGATTTATTTGTTTATATATTTATTATATAGTTTATATTTTAGTAATTTTCATAATATTTACAATGTTCAGTGTCAGACACCAATTCGAAATTTCAGTTAAGCCAGTTTACAATAACAAATCAAGGATAAAGATATAAAAGAATTGTTAAAGAATAAAGATATAAAAAATAAGTTTTTCTCCAAAATTAGTAAAACTAAACGGAACAAAATAAAAATAAGGTTAAAGTTATAAGAAATCGAATAAAATGGAGAAGTTACAAAATTAGATTATTTTAAACCCTCATTTTGGCTTTGTAGATTTTACTATTACAATTCTAACAAAATAAACGAAGTACAATCATAAACGGAAAAAGTATAAAATTTCCAAATCTTTCTTACGTTATCAATGCTCGAATTATTTTCAAAATATTTGATCGAACAGTCATATAGCCAAACATTACGGCCAGATATAACACGTCTGTTTATCACCACACCGCTAGATACGCTTCTTATAAATAATTTAAATTTTAAATGTAAAATTAATTACTGCAGAGATAAAAAAATGTAAAATCTATTTTCGTGTCATCTTTTTTACACCTGTCAATAAGAAACTTCATGATCGTTTTATGTATTAAAAAATCTGTGATCACGATTGATCATTGCGGATACATTCTCTCATCCTCTGACGTGACACCAACGAGCTGACGTGCCTACTTCTCTCCGACGGAATCCCGCGTACGTAGTGACCGCCGTTGTACTGCTCGACAATGAAATGTTCCGGGAAACTTTGGAGAAATTCCACTAAATTGGAATAACCAAATAGACGATACGGTATACGGGTGTTCTCCGCATTATAATAGTCTCTCTCTAGAAGCGGTACAGCTGTGGCGCCATTTCGGGAGAGCAATAACGCCTGGATAAGCTGGCGGATCTCTTCACGTTTCTCGGCCTTGCTCATCCTTGAAATCTCTGTTTGAATTTATAAAAAAAAAAATTTATTATCATCTCCTATCGTGAAATCAAAACGCTCATAAAATAAAATAAAATGTTATATTTAATAAAATTTTAGAGAAAGTATGTTGATAAAGGGAGCGTTTCATTTGACCACGTTGCGATTGGTCCACCCACTCACAACCCCCCGGTGCAAAGAGTTTGTCCACTGGAGCAGCCAATCAGATATCTTTATTTAAAGCCCATTCTACAATAGCCGTAAAAGTATGCGTTAAGACGTAAGCAGTAAGCTATTAATTAATAGGATTTTTACAATCCAAGAATGATCGACTGTAGTTGGTCAATTTTTACTGCTTACGTCTTAATGCATACTTTTACAGCTATTGTAGAATGGGCTTTAATCAGTCAATTGGCGACGTGATCAATTGAGTCTCACTTGTTGGTAAATTATCAATTATACGAAAGGGTAAAAAATCGATATAATTTTTTAGCGCGTTATTCTACAGGTGTACGTTCAGGAATTACGCTTAGGCGCACCTAGGTAACTCTAATGCTACACTGTAGCGTGATGTAAACTATAGCTTACAGTTAAGGTCTTGGCACATAGAAAAACTTAAGCAAGTAAAACTCAAGCAGTAAGCAAATCAGCCAATCACAGTCAAGAACTTAAGGCACAGCCCTAAGCGGTGGCAAATCCATACTGTTGATGTCTTAAGCGGGGAGCACACACTTCTCTCAAAAAATTGATTGGTCCATACACATGTGCATAAGAAAATAGACCAATCAATTTTCTTATGCTTACGCATTATGCGTTATACAGAAGTCTGCGCTCCCCGCTTTACTGCTTAAGTTTTTTCTATGTGCCAAGGCCCTAATCTCATCTTGTGTATGTATGTATGTACATAAAATCGTCTTAAGTCTAGTGTTACATGATCTCAATTTTAAACTGACCTCGCACGATCTATAGTTCGTGTCGGAATACAATTCTATAACTTCATATACCATGTATGTACCAAGTAAAAAAAATTGAAATCAGTGTACACACACACGGGCATAAAATATATCTATTAAAATACACGCGCGCATGAAAATTATATTAAAAAATACAACGTACGTGAGAAAATTGTCATAAAAAAAATATTGTAAATAGAAATGCGTTAGATTTTTATCCTGCCACGTGTTCAATTTTTCTTACACGTCTGAAATTTGTGAGCTTCAAATTTGACTCAAAAATCTATCTTACATAAAAAATGTTTTATCGGTGGACCCTATTATTAATGTCATTTCAAAAATATTAATCTCTAGAGTTAATTCTATCAATAAAATTAGATTTTTTTTTACAAAAAAAAAAAATTAGAATGGAACTAAAATAGAATTAAGCAAAATTTAAAGCCCGTATAATTTCAGAATATAAATCATTTATTTGTACTTAAAGACCTTTGCCAATAGGCCTGTTCGTTTTAGCTGAGCTTCTTGCGCAGTTTATCTTTTCTCTTTTTCTCTCTAACGTGTTGAAGAAAAGAAAGGAAAAAAGATGAACCATGCGAGAAGTTCAGCTAAAACGAGCATACCTATAGATAATGCAAAATTAACAGTAAAAAAAAAATAGAAGCAAAAATAATCTAACTTCAAAAAAGCAGAAGATCGAGAATGCGTTAGAATTTCATTGAGTTGGAAAAATTTACAAAAGCCAAAGGAAGATGTTCTTCTCGAAGGCACGAAAAAACGTGTAGGCGGAACGAGACGCTAAGCTTAAAAGAAAAAAAAATTGGGATATACTTACGTTCGCGGCTTTTCCGCGCAAACGCACAGGCTTACATAGAAAGCTGAAGCAACCGGCAACATGCAAAACACGGATGCAACTACTGCAACTTCCGTTAAAATATCGTTTCGCAGGTTTTAGTGATTTGCGACAAATGTATCCGAGGCTCGAGGTTCACGCGTGGGTCAGACGCACGCTGTTGGAAATAGGTTAGGGCGGTAGCTGAAACGGAAAGATTCCAAGATTTCTTTAAGTACGGAAAAAAGAAACGCGAGCACGAGCGAAGAGAAAGGATAAATGTTGTCTGCGAAGTTTTATCCGTTTAGTCTTACCTGGCAACGTATCTCTTTATGAAAATGGACAATTTCACGTGGCGCGTCGTCGCCCTGCCGCGGTTGCCGGTCGCGCAATCACAATCACCGTATATCTTCGGATCTCGGATCGGATCCTTCCTTCCACCTTCTTTTTGCTTCTACCAGTCTCCTAAGTATTTCAAGAACGGTATATGAGTATATGGCGCTCTGATGATGTAAAACTTCAGCAGACCTCTATGGCGTATTCTTCTTGAAGGAGAAACGAGACGCCAACGAGCCTCCACGCAACGCAACGTCGAGAGAGGGAGGGAAAATTAGACAAGAATGTGCTTAACTTACAACCATATTTTAAGCGGATTGATAAGACAGATATTAGAGATTTCTACCTTCCTTTATCTGGCGATCGGCGAATAGCAAAAGTAGAGATTATTCAAAACTTTTGAATACGTGAAGCAGGGCTATAGCAATATCGGCCTATCTCCTCAAGTCCCCACCGCAGCTTGCCGACACGTTTTCTACTGAAAACTGGTGCAACACTGGTGCACAATGAGTGCAGTTTTAAGGCCTATTCGTTTTATGTCCATGCCATTTCTAATTTTAAGAATTAGAAAAATATATCGATGATGACATGCATATAAAAAGTATACCGAGATTAAAGTTAATCCATATTGGTAGAAATAAACATTAGCTTGTTGTACAGTTCATCTTTCTTCTTTTTCTCTCCAACGCGAAAAGAAATAAAAGAGGAAAAAACCTGTGCAGGAAGTTCAATTAAAACGAACAGGCCTTTATATTGTTCCAATGTAAAAATCAGTTTACATTTTTTTTTAGTGTGTTCAACGTTCTATTGATAAAAATTTGTCAAATTTTGAAATAATATTAAAAAAGTTGAATAATAAATTTTTTCAGATAAAAATTACGAAAGTGAAGAAATTCCCTATATAAGCTACAATTTCATTTGTCGAAATCTAGTAAATCTGTTCACTTTTGTTAAGTCTTAAGAACTGCGTCCAAGTTTTGGTTTAAGCCAATCAACTTGCAGCTCTTACAGAAAAGTAGCAGTTTCATTGGCTTAAACCGAAACTTGGACACAGTTCTTGCATCGTGGACACCGGGCTTTATAATCACCCCAGGAACGCCAATGCGAGTACATACAAGTGCATTGGTTTCAAAATCATATATTATTGTGTGTTCAAAATGCGCGCATTCAAATGTGTAATTAATGCAAATTGAGCATTTAATTTATAAATGACAGGTTTTAATATAAAATATTTAAATGAGTATAAGCTTCTGACTCATTATGAAACATTTTATTTAAGTTTTTAATAAGAATTAATGTTCTTAAAAGTCATTTGGAAGTCAAGATGACGTCAAAAATAATCATTTTTAGAAAGTCAAGATGATAATATATATCATTCGATATGTTTTTAATGAATCATAATTTGACTTTTTTATGACTATATTTTGACCTTTCGATGACTTTTGTCGAGAAAACACGAATCGTTCGCACGTGCAAAATAAATTAAAACCTCGCAGGTATAAATATTTTACGAATTTGTGAAAATATTTCATTTTTGAAGCATTGATTTTCCATTCAAAAGATACAGAATAAAGCTCAAAAATATAAATCTCACTAAATATTGTATATGTATATATACTTACGACATATTTAAAATCTTGTGAATAAAAAATCAGAATGCTTTAAAACATTCACTACATAATTCATAAAAAATAATATCTGGGGCCCGATTCTCTAACGACAAACGTATGCGTAAACTCGGCTCTAACAGAAAAGCTGCAAACTTATTGGCTACAAACTGTGCGAAAGCCAATCAATTTGCACCCTTTCTGTTAGAGCAGAGTTTGCGCATACGTTTCTCGTTAGAGAATCGGACCCCTGAGGTTTTGTAAACATGGGCAATGCTTAAAAGCTGGGCACGAAGAAAAATTCCAATATAGTACAGAGTTCACTATATAGTTGTCCGATTAATTGGGCTCCTCCATCAATGATGAACGTAGGTGCACTTTTTGGTATGCGCTTCCATAATTATATGCATTAAATGCGCATATAATATATATGGGGGACAAATACCCGCATTTAATGCAAAGTTTAATGTACATTCAAAGCGCATATTATACGCAATTCGCGACCCAATCACATTTTATGCGCGTCCATAACAGCAAATAGCAATGCGATTGGATAATTTTCTTTATGCATATAGATCTTAATTTTCACCGTCTGAAAAATTTCATTATTGTTTCGTCTAAGTTTTTCTGAAAAAATGTTCCAATTCGTATAAAAAAATCTGAAAAATTCTGAGAAATTCTTGAAATTTTTATAGAAATTCTGATTAATAATATAAAAAATTCTGAGACATTTTTCCATCAGGCTTGAGAACTTTTCCCCTCAATATATAGTAGGTATCTGTATAGTCACAGATTAATAGAAATCTGTGATATAGTTCCCTCGACATGCATATATTTCAGTGCTTTATACTATTATATAATCAATATAGTCATGATATTTAGACAGAAAACATTCATCTTGGGCATGCTCTGATAAGCTTACAAATTATATATATAATACTTTATTATATATTATATAAGAACAATACTAGAAATAGTAATAAGATTTATTATTATATTTCGTGGTTGTATATATATATAAAATATATTTACCCTGCTGTTTCAATTCTAATAATGATGGCTGTTAACAATAACAATGATCACAAGGATCTAAAAAAAAATAACATTTTAAAATATTGAATTTTTGTTTTATCTTTTAATTTTATTCCCGGAGTAATATATTATTTTCATAAAAAATAACTAAATTAAAATAAAGAGATATACAAACTTTAATTTACAAAATTAGTAAGATTAGATTTATTTCTTCTAGTTACTAAATTATTGATTTACCAATTTATCTTAATATATATGATACGCTATTAATTTAAAATAAAAATATATAAAAAAGTTTATATTTAAAAAATTGATTTTTTCCATTTTTTTTAAATTCCTGCTTCTTATAAAAATTAAATAAAAATTAAATAATTATGTATATAAAAATATGTGTATATAAGAATATAAAAGATAGAAGGAACGTAAATAATTATAAGATCGTTATCTTTCGGATCTAATTTAGATTAAAAATATGGAACTATTCCTGTTTATTTTTTTTTTAATTAGCTTTCATATGGCGAGACAATAAATTTTTGTCAGTCTCTTTAATTTCGCAGACGTCTTTGAGATGTCTTATTCTTTTACTCTCCTTCGTATCAACGTGAAAATTATTTGCGTAATACGAGCGTAGACGCTATTAACAAATGCACGTGCTTAAAATAATGTCAATGACCTGGATTATCTTCAGGCACTCGTATTATCATCGTTTTAAAGCACTTGGATAACATGGAGAATAAAGCAACAATGAAGAAGCAATTCTCTTTTCGGGCCGTCACGAATAAAACTTTCAATGTCAATATATATTTTTCTTTTTTATAGGCAATTTGCTCGTAAACTTTCAATATTTTAAAACCAACATTAAGGGACATATAAAGAGACACGCCACATAGAGCATGCAAGGTTTCATCGCGGACATCCTGAAGTTTATTAGGCTTCTTTTGTACCGATTTTGCAGGCTTGATGCAAAATATATATATTTATGTGTCAGGTAAATTTGTAGTAAAGTACTCCTACGTGAATTCTAATTTCGAATCTTACACAGCGTATTCATTCTATCATATAATTGCCTAAGTTATTGGTTTAAAAGAGTTTGCTGGGTATAAACATTTGATTTTTATTTTATGTAGCTTAAATTTTTGTTTTAAATCAACTACTTGTGAGCTTATGGACTTGTAGGCTTGATGGCAGCTATCAGATATGTCGTTTTAATCAATAATTATATGTCGAATTTGGGAACAGGCCCGTTGGCCCCTTTTGGTAAGATCTATATGACAATTAACAACAAGATTGTTATAACAAGTGTTCTTATCTGATGGGCATGTCCGTCGACTGCTTCTCCTCTTTAAAGACTTATTGTGAAGTGAAAATGTCAATACAATTATGTACGTCATATACATTCAATATTCAATCCAGGCAATCAAAAGATCAAGGAACATGTCTGAGAATGTAT